CTACATGCTCAAGCTCAGCGTCAGATAAGGAAGTATGTAAATACAAAGAAAAAGATTGTCTCCATAAAATAAATTTCATCCAAAAAGTTTAACACATTGTACTATCCAACTTTCAAAGTTCTTAGACAAGATAGCAAAGAATGGTCATTTTCAGAGGCTGACTTCACTTACCTTGAGCTTGAAGGCTTAGAGTTTATATATCATGAGATGAGGAGAAGGACAATCAGACTCAGGATGTTACTTTGGCTCTGAATGTTATGAAAAGATTCATGAAAAGACAAGCCAAGTACTCCATATTTTCAATTGGGTATTGAAAGCAACCAGAAGAAAGTCAGTCAATCTGCTCCAATCCAATCAGATTCTACTCGAGATTGAAGAATTTCCAACTTACATGATTCTTGAAGATCCGGGGTTTGGAATAGTTTATCAGAATGTCAAGATAGAAAAATGTTACTTGAGATTTAACGAGGTGGAAAAATATTTAGTTGGCACTTTGAAGCTGATTAGACAGAAGTTAAACCTGAAGTTGAATGGAGATGATAAGTCTGAAGAAAAGATGGACAAGAAGGATAGAGAGCTAATTGTTAGAGATTTAGATGTGATCCAAGACAGGTTGAGTTTCATAAATGATTTGAGGAGGATTGAAACATCTTGGTCTTCGAAAGAAATTGAAGTGGAATGCTTGAATGCAAAAGGGGGGAGAATGTTAGATCTAGATTTTATATTCAAGATAGGTGCTTTTTGTGTAAATACCCTTGAGGTATAAATAGCTTTGTTTCCTTGTAATTGTTAAGTCAATTGTTTATTTCTCAAGATTTGTATTTTCCTACTTTCTCTCTTAATATATAAAAGACTTTTGATGGCAAATTTGAGTTCATGATTTTAGTGAATCTTGTTATTTACTTAAATTTGGGATTAACAGTCTTGGTCACTTTTTGTTTGATAACTCCCAATGATGCAGACAAGATGATCACTTGAAAGTATTGAAGTCTAGTCCTTAACCTAGAGATGAGTAGGATGTCGTGACAGGATCTTGGGTGATGATAGGGGACTCAATAGAGTTCTTATAATGCCAACGAGAGTTGGGTTTGCACAGTGAGATAAAATCCAACCCACTGGAATAGTAGGCACGCTAGTTGACGCATCTTAAACACTTAGAGTGTTTGTCTCTACACATTCCATCGGACCCGGAAGGTTCACTAAGGGTCATTACTGAAAAAACGGTAAGGTTAAATATATGAGACTTTGACAAATAGGTATTAGTACTTTTTCTGACCTGACATCTTGAAAGAGAGTGCCCACTCCCATGCAGTATAGTAAGCACTATTCTAGATGTACTCATTATGAAATCTAGGGAAAATTTATACCTAAATCTCATTCTTTATTTCATAAGTCTTTTATCAAAATTGTTTCACCAAACCTACCAACTTATTTACTTTTTTTCCTCTCTAAATGAAATATGTAAAAAGAAGATCACAAAAATAATAGTGTCTTGATTGTCCAGTCCCTGTGGATACAATTCTAGTTCTTACCAAACTATTACTTAACGTGACGATCATAGTGACCAATGTACACTTGTGTTGTCCACCATTGTGGACAGTTTTCTAACCCACTGCGATTACACTTGTATCGCACATACCATATGTCAGGTTTCCTTTCTCGTTTTTAATTTACGCAATTTACTTTTAGTAATTTCCATTTTCATCATTTACATTTTATTCCTTACATCTTTCATAAGAAGAATCTGAGCAATGGTAGGCTAATTGCCTTAGTTTTGGGGTGTAAGGGAAGTGAAGATTGAAACATATGTGAAACTGGAGAGCTACTTCCATTATAGCATTTTCCTCTAGCTATTCATTCAGGTTAACAGGGTTTCAATGAATATTACATATAATTAACTGACAACTAGTTATATGTATGAAAATGTGCTAGCTTTTGGAGCTACGGTAAATATGAAAACCTGCTTTGTTATGAGAACGCTATGAAGAGCTTTATGTACATGACAAGTGTTATACCCATTTGGTATAGGAAGGTAACATTGTCTTGCGATAGGATTCATGACATTTAACATAAATGATGTTGAATCAATAGCAGAAGGCTGGTATGAATTCTTAGGAGGCCATCTAAACCGGTAGTTGGATAACTGTGACAGTACTATAACATCATTTTGTGGTAATATAGGACTGTTTAGTGGTACTATAGTATATTTTTATCGGATCATTTGCTCCTCTTAACAAACCTTTGCACCATTTTGTTCTTCTATTTACTAATTTCTATAATCGATAACTCGCACACACAAAACAAATTACATGAATTCACCATATGAAGTTAACTTTTAAAGATTAGATTTTTGAAGAACTTTTACAAGTCTTCCCTGTAGACAGATATTCAGTACTTTTACCATTGTTACTTGTTAAGAGACGACAATAAATCAAGATGTATACCTGTGTTGGGATTTGTTTGAATGAATCTTGAGGTTGCGTAAACTTTAACCAACACATACACCTTAACATTATTTCGCTAATGTGGACCAATGATGTAGCTTTTATATAAAAAAAATAAAGATAAAATATATTTTTTACTTTATTTTTCTCTAATTTCAATTAAATAGTTTAAGAATACTATGTACATACACACACATAACGCCCGTGTATGCAACTCTGAGGCATAACCATACCCTCGGTTGCCCTGTTCAACATCCCCTACTGGTCTCGATCATAACGCCCTTGGTATAGTGAAAGTTCCAATAGTTTGTTTCCTTCATCATAGAGCCTTTGATAGGTGAAAATAATGGCTTAAAGATCATGTTGCTGTCATTGAGTTGATAGTATTTATCAAGCACAATATCTTTCTTGGACTTAATTATAGCTTTCGATGAATGCTACGTTTTAACAAGTTAAAACGAAAAGCAAAGTGTACATGATCATTAAGCGGAGGAGGTGTGAGATGGGGCTTGAAGATGGATGTTGAAAATAGATGACAGAGATGGTGGCCGATAGGGAATGGTTATGTTCTCAATGGTGTAACATACTATATTTTAAATTATTTAATAGAAACCAGAGAAAATTAAAAAAAAAATATTCTATATTCATTCTTATATAAAAGCATATATCCTCAGCCATATTAACAAATAATATTGAGTTGTATGTCACCTCATTCACCACCACATCATCATAGAAATCAGTTAATTAAATTTTTGATATGTCACATCTTAGGTATCAAAATTGAGATTGTGAAAATACGTTAAAAATAATAAAAACCAAAACAAAATAAGTTACAGTTTCATCCAATTTGTCCTACATAAAATATTAGTTTTACTTTTAAAAGGTTTGTTTAGCAGTCTGTCCCACAAATAAAGTAAAGACACATCATATTTTAATTTATTTTATATTTATTTAATTCATATTCATATTTTCTCTCTAATTATGAGAAAATTTAAGACATGTGTAGGGATGTACAAAAAACCGTCAACCCGTGAAATCCGTCCAACCCAACCCGTTAACAACCCAATTAAACCCAACCCGTCTACTCGTCAAACCGCCCACCCGCCAAACCGCTAACCCGCCAATTAGGAGGGTTGAAATTGGGTCGAGCCTAGCTCAACCCGTCAACCCGCCGCTAATATATAATTTTTATAAAATTATATATATATATATGTTTATATGTATATATATATATATATTAATAATGTATAAATTTTATATAATTTTTATTGATATTATATTTTGTTTCATTTTAACTAAAAGTATAGGTTACCAAAAGAGATTCACGATCAAAGAATGATGACAAATAATCTAATTAATAAGAAAAATTATTGATTTTTTTTGCAGCAACAACAAATTGATATGTTAGAAAATATGAATGATATTGATAGATATTTGATGGACGAATCCATCAATCTATGACGCTTTTAAAGAGTTACATTAGAAAAATGTTTTATCTAAAAGAGTTCCACTATGTTTATAGGATGATTTTGGACGTCTTAACAAATTCTATGATGCTTTTAAAATAAAGTGTCGTATTAGTTATTTTATACAACAGGACTTGAAAGTGTCATATGAGCATAGGTGTCCTATAAAATAGATGAGTTTACGGGACAATTCTCAAAATGTTTCTATAAAATAACTAATACGATATTTTATTTAAAGATCATTCTAAAACACTTGTTGAAACGTCCAAAAATGTCCTATAAACCTATTATAACATTTTTAGATAGGACGCTTTATAATATGGTCTATAAACTTAAGTTTTATGAATTATTTCATTCGTCAAATTATGTAACTACTAACCCGCCAACCCAACCCAACCCACCTCAACCCGTAAGGGTTGGGTTGGGTTATACTTTTGAATGGGTTGGGTTGGGTTGAGATTTTTCAAACCGTCATAATTGGGTTGGGTTGTAAAATTGTTGTAAACCGCCCAACCAACCCGCGGTCACCCCTAGACACGTGATTTCCATCTAGGGGGTGTTTAGGATTGCTTATTTGAAACAACTTATGTTTTTTTACAAAAACATTTATCAACTTATTATAACTTAGAAGAGTTTAACTTCTTTAAAAACTTCTTATTACCGGTTTGACACCAGTATAAATTGTTTATCCAAACACTCAAAAGTGTTTATTACCGGTGTCACATCGAAATAAGTCAATAAGTTGTTTTTATAAGCAATATCAAATGCATACAAATAGATCCTGACCATTCCATCTTAAAAACGTTTGGACCCATCAAAAACCGTCGTTCTAATCTAGTCCAATCTAATTACGTCATAATCTGATACAATTTAAACCGAACGGAAAAGTAAACAACGTTCAAAGTTTTACATTGACCAGGTATGTGAGTGCCGACAGATGTCACAAAATGTCGGTGAAGGTCCTCCAAAAACAAACAAGAGCGTCAAAAGTAATAAATAGCACCACGTTAAAAAAAATACCCAGAGTCACTCTTAAAGACGATACTTTTTCACTTTCTAATTTGTAATAAAGTGAATTAATTCTCCTTTCCTCTTGAATTCAAGAACATAGCAAGTGGGAATTTAATGGGATTTGCAGCTTCTGACGCTGCTACTCCCTTTGATTCCGATTCACATCAATTCAATTCTCTGCTGTTCTTGTTCTTATTACCTCTTCAAGAAAAGCTACCCTGATGCTGACATTATACTATTTGTATCAGTTTCTTGTACCCAAATCAACTTTCTTTACAGTTGCGTCTATACTAATCGGTTCCTAGTGTTTGTTCATCTGGGTTTCTTTTAATTTTGAACTTTTTGTAACTGGGTGAGAATTTTACAGAAAGTTAAAATCTTTTTGGTATTCGATTTTGCTGTAATCGACTTAAAGATCCCAAAAATGCACGGTTACAGTCGCTTAGGACGGCCAAGTACCAGAAGTGGGAGCATCTCGCCGTCTCCTTCACCGCCTTCCTCCCCTCGATTTCGTCAGACCCGTAGCAAAGGCGGCGGCGGAGGTGGTTTCCGGGGCGGGGGCGGCGGTGGAGTAGAGGTGAAGCTGCAGAGTTTTGTGGAGCGGTGGGTTTATGTTGTGATATCGGCGGTCTATAGGCGGCGAGGGGTTTTATTATTTGCTCCCCTGCTTTATATCTCTGTAATGTTATTGTATATGGGTACAATGGGTTTTGATGTTGGTATTATGAGTAAAAATAGCGGTACTACTTCTAAAACAGCTCCTTTAGGTTCTTTGTATCGAAGTCCTCAGGTTTTCCAACACTTGTGGCCGTTTATGGAAGCCGAGAATAATCGAACTACGGATTTGGTAATTTTGCTTTATTTCATTTCTATGCTGTGATTATATGCATATGCTTTTTGTGTTTAATCACATGGAATGCCTGATCCATATGCCCATTCGGTTGATTTCGTTAGGTAGGTCTTTGAGGTGCTTTTAGATAGAAGACATACTAGAAAATTTGTAGTTTATGTTGATTTGAGTACGGGTTGATTGACTTCAAGAGTTACAATTGGTTTTAATATGTGGGTATCTGGGGTTGATCATATAAGTAACAAGAATGATATTGGATTTGGAAGTACTTATGACTTCGGTGACGAATTTGCCCTCATGATCAATTTTCATATGATCTTTTTTCTTGAATGCTTGCTTATTGGGGATCCCTTTATTTTTGATTGATTGTAATTGGTAAATATGTAATGAGAATTGGGGGAATAGGATTTGGATCGGTGGTCTTAGATGGGCAAGCTACATTCTTGATGATAATTATCAAGAGCATATCATCAACTTCATTTAATTTTCTTTTCATCTTGCTTAGTGATGCAATTTCGTTTCTTTAACGTTGTAAATTGTAGTCTTGTTGTTTACCAAATGCTATCTAAAATCGTAATTTTGTGCATGGAAATAACAGATGATGAATGTGTGGAACATGAAGTTGCGTCAATCTTGGAGGCCTTGTATTCTTCTTCAGAATTCTCAAGCAGGTGTGTAGTTTTCAACCAACTTTGATCCAGAAAACGGAAATAATGGTGTTCATAGTCTTTGTGCCACATGATGCAAATTGACTCTGATAAATACATAAAACACATACCAAACTGCCAACTCCAGAAATGGAATGGAATTGATCACTAAATTATATTTTTTTTTATTGTTTTTCTTCCTTCTCTTATGTGTGTGCATGCTCGTTGATGTTTGTTTATCCATTCCGATTCCAGAACTACCAAAATCAAATGGCTTTCTCATAATTGAAGCAAACGGCGGGCTGAACCAACAAAGATTATCGGTACTTTTTCTAGACCTTGGAATGACGATGCACCATGCATTGCACTCATTTATTGCAAAGATTTTGAAAGAATTAATAATTATCTTATTGATTAATTTGGGAAACATTCATGATATATATATATATATATATATATATATATATGCATACTCCTATACAATTTGACTAGAAAACAAACTCCTATAAAATAGCAACTTAACATATGCTAAAACTAGTTGAGCTTCCTAATGTCTAAATTAGGAAACTTTCCCAAATTGTGGGAATATTTATAGCTCCCTGTAAAGTTGCAATGCAATCTCTCAACATTAGGTATTTAGGTCCTTGAAGATCCTTTGTCAATATTTTCATAATTGCTCGTGAGCTGGAGTTGTATCATGTATGTGAGACACATGTATTTTTTCATCAATGAAATGTCTTTGAATTGCATAGTAACCCCTTTCAAGATTAGGTCCTTCATGTACGGTAACCTTTTTTTCTAAATAGTAACCCCTTTCCAGGAGTTTTCTTTAGATACCTGAGAATTTGGTATATTTGTTCTTCCATCGGATTGTTCATGAATTGACTAATTGTGCTTACTGCAAAACCAATATGGGAAAGGTAAATGAGTTTCCTTACTAGGCGTTGGTATCTCCCTTTATCTACTAGGACTCATTAACACTCGAGTTTTCTCTGTAGCTCAACATAGCAGTATCCTGTAGTAAATGTGAGGTTTATTTGCGTTGTGAAACAAATATACCTTTCCTTGATTAAGCTACTTTCTGTTCCTAGAAAGTACCCAAGAATACCAAGATCTTTGACTTCAGCCAACACTTGTTTGATCCCTACAATCTCCTTTCTATCATGTTTAATTAGAACGATATCATCCACGTGGACAATAAGTACATTATAAACAATGTGTGATCAACTTGGAATTGGGTAAGCTGTGCCCTTTTGCTGATTCATAAGAGTCGACCAAACCATGTTCTTAGAGATTGCTTCAAACTATTAAAAGATTTTAACAGTTCACATACGTTGTTGTCGTCATAATTCTTCTGGAAATGGGATCTCCATGTAGATATTCTCTTTGAGATTCCCATTTAGAAATGCATCATTGATATCTAGTTGATGAAGTAACCAATCTAAATTTGCAGCAATTGACTTGATAGCATTACAAGTGTTGCAGTTAGAGCAAACGTTTCTCGATGATCAATACCGTAAGATTGGGTGATCAACCCATGGTGCCTTAACCCTTTCAACGCTTCCATCTGCCTTGTGCTTTACAGTGAACCTCCGTTTGTGACTTCCTGCTTTCTTCCCTGGTGAAAGATCTATATTGTTTCTTTCCGAAGCACTAATCTTCTCTTGAACGTTTATTTCCATCCAATCTTGACAGAATTGTTCCTGACAGGTTCCCATAAGAAAGAAAACAAATTAATTGGATATTGAGTACATGTGCGGATACCTTTCCTCAAGGCAATAACTTTTTTTGTTCGACTCTCCTCCTGCTCTTGCTCATTCCTTCTATGTGAGTTGATGGGTCATGCGTTCAACCTCCTTTTGAGCTTGTTTCCCCTTTCTTGAATATATATGTACTTCTTTAGCTATTGATTGAGGTGCATGTTGTTTAGGACACACGTGTCAAGATCACTGATCAGATATCTACAAAAGGAATCAACTCAGAAGTTGGATGTAAGGAAATGTAGGCTGACTTGGAATAATTTCCAAGTTTAGTGGTTGATTACTTGAAGCAAAGGAATTTTTATCATGCAAGATATTCCAACTCCAAGTTTGAAAGTGTACTATGCCCCCTGCCCCCTTTGAATTTTAATCTTGGCCATGGCTTCAAATACTTTTGTGGGGCAAAAGCATTTATACCCTTTTTTGTTTATAGAGTAACCGAAAAAAGCTTTGTGGATCGTGTTGATAGACATTGACAAAGGATGAGTATTCAAATACTTTTGGAGGTAGATTGGATTAAGGAAAGAGATGAATAAGAATTTGACAAGGTGTTTTAAACTGAAGGACTCGAGATGGTAACCCATTGATTGAGATATGCGGAAGCAAGGGTAGCTTCCCCGATAGGTGTTCTCCAACAACCGCCTTGTTTTTCTCTTCAGGAATCATTTTGTTACGGAGTAGTGACGCATCTCAACACTGCCAATCTTGTTTCTCGAACCTAATTCCTGAAAAACGCACATTGGGAAAGAGTATTTAAAAAAATGGCTGAATGGAAATCACGCAATCAAGATTCATTAGGAAAATAAAGCACATATTTTAGAATGATCCTAGGTGATATTGGAAGTAATCCTATCCCGACTACTTTAAATAAAAGTGCCATCAACTATCTTCACCATGAGATTAGATTTACAATGTTGATATTCAATGAAAATTGTCTCATCTCCGGGCGTATGATCTGATGTTTCCGAGTCAATGATCCACGGGTTTAATTGTAATTTTCCCAACTTACCATGTAGACTAGTGGTAGAGTGTCATAAAGGTGTTGCAGTGGAAGCAAATTATGATACCATGAAGATTTGATGGAATTAATCTTCGTCTATTGATTAAAATTGGAAGATATACATATACATATATATATATATATACACACACACACACACTCTATGAGCTTCTTCTTTCTTGATAGAAAATCAGCTTTTAATTGAGTATATTTGTTACAATGGTATTCGTGTCTTAGCTTTCTGTTTTTATATAACCACAGAAGCAAGTACAATTGAACTTATTCAGTTAGTATGTGAAAAAAATCAGATATGCGATGCAGTGGCGGTGGCAGGGCTACTGAATGCTACGCTTGTCATTCCAATATTTCATTTGAACAGTGTGTGGCGCGATTCAAGGTAGCCGATCTCTTTGTTTCTTGTTTTTTCCTTCTCATACTCTCACATGAAATTGATACTAAGGGGCCGTTTACCAAACATTTATCCGGGTAAGCGCTTACCAAGTCACGTTACCTCATTGGATGAATATGGTAAGGATCAAGAATCTTACCCGGTAAGAGCGAGACAAGGACCAAGAGTCTTACCCGGTAAGTGAGGGTAACGACTCTTACCATGGTAAGCGCTTACCGGGTAAATTGTTGCATATGATGTCATTTTGGTGGACTAAAATCTTCGGTAAGTAAATAATAGTGTTAAACCAGTAAGCACTTACCGAGTAAGTGTTTGGTAAACGGCCCCTAATATTTAAGTTTATTGGACAATTCTTTTATTGTTGCTGCTTTCTAAAGTATATCTATTTATTTTGATTATTTACTTTTGTTCTTTAGTACCTCGTGTTTTACTATGAACCTATGTTGTTATAGCAGTCAGGACTGATATTGGAAACAACGGTGGTATAGCGGTCCAAAAATAGCTGTTCATACAATATTTCTTAGAATTATACATATAATATATATACGTATGCATACATAAACATATCATATGCATTAATTAAAAATATAGTTTCAACATCATCAACTTAAACAAGTTTCACAAAACAAAATAGGAAAAGTGCAACTGCCCAAGTCAAACATAGCCCAAATCAAAACAGAAAGCTCAAATGCCCAAGTCAATGACTCAAAATAAAGCCCAGATAAACCCAAACTAAATAGCGCTATTGCGGTCCGCAATTTGACCCTAAATATCGGTCAAATAGCGGTAAATTGCGCCGATATTAACGGAACCGCTATTTACAGAACTATTTAACCACCGATATTTTGCATAGGTCCGAAATCCGCTATTGCGCTGCAATTAACAACATAGCTATGAACAAAAGCATATGGAGTATATGAAGAATCTTAGGTCTTATTTGATTTAGGGAAATAAATTTCTTTGATTCTTGTAACAGTGGTTGTTGGGCCTCCAAGGAATTAATAGTACCTAAGGGGAATCAAAGCTTAAATCCCGTATATCCGTTTTCATACCCACCCATAACAACCCGGTAACGATACGTTGATACATTCTCTCTTCTCCCGAGTGTCCCCCAACCGGCGAACTATTGAACTCCTTAAGTCATATTAATGAGGATCGAGATAATACCACCCTATCCTTATACCACAAGAGGTCATATTTGACGGAAAAACCCTTGTGCTCACCCCTTCCTGCTACAATGTCTTCTTTATTTTTCCCCGACTACTCGTCTTGACCAACCTCCCATCAAATTACATTCCATTGCGGCCCCCCATCACGGAACATTCGAGTCCTCTCCCAGTGGCCAGGTTACTTTTTCCTGACTTGTATATGTTATCAAAATCATACCCCATGAATTTCGCCACCTAATTCTGATAAGGTGGCTCGATCACCCTTTGCTCCAACAAAAAATTTAAACTTATCTGATTCGTTCGTACCACAAATTTCCTCGCGAGCACATACGGTCGCCACTTCAAGACAATGAAAACAATAGCTATAAGCTCCTTCTCGTAAATGGGTTTCTATCGCGCCTGCAAACTAAATACTTGGCTATGGAATGGAATAGGCTTATCATTTTGCATCAATATTGCTCCAACTCCACTTCCCGAGGCGTCTGTTTCATTCACAAATGGTTTAGAGAAATCCTGTAAAGCCAACACCAATGCTTCTATCGAATCTCGCTTCAACTTCTCAAAAGTTGTGGTAGCCTTGTCGTTCCACTCAAACTTATTTTTCTACAACAAATCCGTTAAAGGCCTTATTATTTCACCGTACGCTGCTATAAATTTTCGATAATATCCTGTGAGACCCAAAAATCCCCTCAACTGAGTCACTGAAATAGGTTGTGGCACTTTAACATTGCATCTACTTTTTCTTGGTCTATTTTGGAATGATGTGTCCTAGATAACCTAATTCACATCTTCCAAACTCGCATTTTTCCCCGATTTGCACACAACTGATGTTTCCACAAGCACTGGAAATACCATCTTCAAATGCTCCACAGGGTCACCCACGGATTTACTGTAGTCTGTAAACCAAGATATCGTCAAAGAACACCAAAACAAGCCGCCTTAGAAACAGTCTAAAAACATTGTTCATCAACGATTGAGAAGTGGCCGGAGCATTGGTAAGCCTGAAGGGCATTACCAAGAACTCATAATGTCCCTCGTGTGTTCGGAAGGACGTCTTATGCACGTCCTTTTTCTGCATCCTAATTTGATGATATCCGGCCCTCAAATCCAACTTGGAAAAACAAGTCGCGCCATACAATACATCCAACAACTCATCAATGACTGGAATGGGAAACTTGTCTGGCATTGTTCCTTTATTTAACGCACGGTAGTCGATACAAAAATGCCAACTACCATCTTTCTTTTAACCAACAAAACTGGGCTAGAAAATGCTCTCTGGCTATGTTGGATGATCCCGGCCCCAAGCATCTCGCGCACCATTTTTTCCACCTCATCCTCCTGGTACTGTAGATAGCGAGCAGTAAGGCCGAACGTTCACAGGTTCCACTCCCTCCTTCAAGGCAATCCCATTGTTGCCATTTGTTGCATCATAGTCTGAATATTTTCCTCGATCGATGTCATCCTCGTTTGTACCTCATCCATACTTTTTTCTACCTCCTCGATTCTTGACACAATCGAACGTGGCATGGTTCGAACCTGCTCTGATACCAATTTGATGAACAATTGGACTCAAATCCGATTTTATATCACTTATTTTCACTCTGATTACAATCGAATGGTTGCAACCAACAAAAACACAGCTACTGCTACTACGTCGCCAATATCCGAGAGATTGACCCTTTCCCAGTTGACAGAATCTTCCAAAATGCTTCTCCTCTCCATGCTCCCTCCTATTTGTACTCCCCAACGCACCGACTTAACTCCCAATACCACATCAACAGACTTGAAAAGACCATTCTACCCTCCCTACTTCTTTCTTCGAGAATGGGTAAACTGTATCTCAGGCTTATCACTGTCATCTTCTCATTATCCGCATCTACACCTGTACTTGTATAACCATGGTTCTAAAAGACGGCACGAGTTTTTGTAACGTGCTATTTGACTTGTTAATTATTTTTTTGCAATTGTCTTATTTTTACCTTTTACGTTGTTATGAGTTGTCGATATAACACTTTTTGTATGCTCTATAGACATATGACATATATGTGTATATATATAGGGTTGGGTTCCCATGAGAAATACCACTTTTCATGAGAAATGGAACCTTCACATAATATAATGTAACTTTCACACACACACACACACACACACACACACACACACATATATATATATATATATATATGAAGGTGACTGCCTTCACAGAAATTGGTGAAGGTACACATTCAGGTCTTGAAACCTTCACTACCTTCACGAAATATAACCTAACATTCACACAATATAACGGCACCTTCACCGCTTACTCTTTTCTTCAAAATCCTTTTTTCTCACGTGATCCCAAGTCCATATATATATATATATATATGAAGTACAGATTTACCACCTTAAACCATGCCTAGAAAAACGCCATGGCTCCCAAGGGTTGAGGCTTGACCTCATCATCACGCCACACCTCTCGTCATTTAGAACCTAGACTATAACATAGTAATAGTAGAGCCTCTTATTTCCGGATAAATACAACTTTTCCCTTTTCGACCAAATTGCATTTGCCTGCTACTAATCATTATGCAGTATTTATGGCATTTATTTTGGTCTACAAGGTTTCTTTATCGACGGGTATTTTATATTTTTTGAATAATGGTTAGATACCCCCATTAAAGTAAAGAGATAAAGATAGAAAAGAATATAGGAGCACCAAGGAAAAGCATGACATTTACGGAAGTTTAAAACCTTCCTTTTGCATCGAAATTGCAGCAAGTTCGGGGAGATATTTGATGAGGAATTCTTCATATATGCATTAAGACATCACGTGAATGTGGTTCGAGAATTACCAGAAGATGTACTCGAGCGTTTCGACAACAATATAAGCAACATTGTGAATTTGAGAGTCAAAGGTTGGTCAAGTCCAACTTACTACCTTCAAAAGGTCTTGCCAAAGCTTCTGGAGTTGGGGTATGTAAATAAGAAGCTTTGCCGTTTATTATTATTATCCCAATATACGCTCTATTCATAATTTTCTCGCTTTGTTCATAGATAAATATTTAATGCTACACGTAATGTTTTTAACAAATTTTCTATTTCGTAACCATTTTCACCGTTAACATGCTGATTTTGTAATATTTGATGACATAAATGCCAAGTTTTCAAGTTATATTGATTGGAAAAAATATATTGATTAACAACTTGGCATCCACGTCATCAAATGTTACAAGTTCATCAGGTTACAGGTCAAAATGGGTATGAAATAAACATTTTTGAAACTTCGTTACATTGATTGAGAAAAGTAAATTCTTTGTTACACTAAATAGGAACTAAGGGGCCGTTTACCTAAATACTTACCCAGTAAGCACCTACTTTAAGAGTCAACACTATAATTTATTTTACCGGGTAAGATTATAGTACATTAAAATAATATCGTATGCAACAATTTACCCGGTAAGCACTTACGCGGGTAAGAGTCGTCGCCCTCACTTACCGAGTAAGACTCTCCATCTTTATCATTGCTTTTACCGGGTAAGGTTTTTGACTCTTTCCATGTTCATCAGATAAGGAAAATTACCCAATAAGCACTTACCAGGCAAGCATTTAGTAAACGGCCCCTAAGTGCTGCGTTTTTATACATTTTACCTTTTTTCATACCGTTTTGGTGAGGTGCAACTTTATTCTCTTATAATGTAGATACTTTATGATCTATACATATTTATTCCTTTTTATGATGCTGCACGTCATTCTTTTTTCTTCAAATATTGTAGTATATGTTGCTAGATTTCTCGTTAAAATGGTCGACTTTTTCCATATATTTTTAACAGATAGGTCTGCGACATTATTTTATTGTGCAGGGCGGTACGTGTTGCACCATTCTCTAACAGATTGGCTCATGCTGTTCCTTCAGATATCCAAGGGCTTAGATGTTTATCCAATTTTGGGGCACTTAGGTTTTCAGAGCCTATACGCACACTTGCAGCAAAAATGGTCGATAGAATGATCCGGAATAGTTCTAGTAGTGGCGGAAAGTATATCTCCGTTCATCTCCGTTTTGAAGAGGTGTGTTTCATTGTCTTCTTAACTCTGGCATATAATATCTACAATATACTTCCTCCGTCCCAAAACAAATGTCCACTGTAAAGAAGTCATACAGTGTTAGAAATGTGTAAATATTGCACATGTTAGTTAACTAAATGACAATTTTACTCTTAATAGAGGGAGTCATGAATTTCTCCATCTCATAATCAAGGGTAGAATTGGAAAGTAGGCACTTACTTTTGGTAGCGGACAATTGTACATAATAACGAACCTGAAATGTTGTTTATTTTGAAGGACATGGTTGCATTTTCATGTTGTGTATATGATGGTGGGGAGGAAGAACAACACGAAATGGATATTGCTCGTGAAAGAAGTTGGAGAGGAAAGTTCCGGAAAAGAGGTCGGATAATAAGACCTGGTGCAATTAGGATGGACGGAAAATGCCCTTTAACTCCCCTTGAGGTATGTATGGCTCACAAATATATGGGGAGTAAATAATATACATTACAAAATGCATGTTGGATGCTTACTACTATTTTCTAACGTTATGTTTAGCAAACTAGCTGTTAGCTGAAAATCTAGTTGTTGGTTCATAAACTAGTCACATTTTTGTAATATCTAGCCGATAAGCTAAATGATAATGTCAAATGATCTAAAAGGAAATACAAGGGGCATAATGTGATAAAAGAGCGAAAAAACCCCAATAACGAAAATATAAGCGGTTGTTACTTGCAAGCTTAATGAACTTAATGGTCTGGGCGGCTTATTCACTCACCCATACATGAGTCTATTTAATGGTTAAGCCCTTAAGCAAAAATGGCTATATGGAATTAGTCAAGACCCCTCACTTGTCCCCATTAAGCCACCTCAAACAAATTATACTAGAAATACCCTAGAAATAATGGCTATATGCAATTGGTCTCCTATCCCTCAGGCTGACAAATTTATCCAGATAGACAACTTAACCCATACAGGGCTTAATGGAAAAAAAGAGTAAACATCCCTTAAGCTAGCTGTTGGTTAATGAACCCGGAATCATAGGGCTATTGATATCAAATACTTTGGTTTTCTTGCCATATTAGACTAAAAGTTATGTTGCTTGTATGATATGTAGGTTGGAATGATGCTTAGGGGCATGGGTTTCGATAACAATACTTCAGTATATGTGGCAGCGGGTAAAATATACAAAGCTGACAAATATATGGCACCACTTAAACAAATGTTTCCGCGGTTAGAAACCAAGGATACATTAGCTTCACCCGAGGAGCTCGCTCCATTTGTGGTATTTCTCTAGCTTTCTTGTTTCTAAAAGTTCTTTTTGAAACCAAATGACTTAATTACCCTTACACTTGTCACCACAAGAGTATCGTTGATATACTTGACGGTCCTTCAAAAAGGGTATATGATGCCACCTTCTGGGGAGGTAAAGTGCATCCTGAAGGTTGTTTAGGAGAATAACCTTCTGACGTATTTAAGAACGACTCTGCCTTACAGAAAAATGTCTCTTCCTAACACTAGGTATCTCGAAATATGTTAGAAGGTCATGCATTCAAAAAAATCTGTCCGAAGGTTATTTTCGTAAATTCCTGTGTCCCACTGGTAGGTGGGTGGTGCCTAGAGTCGAACTCCAGGCGTGTGACTCGTTCTGCAAGGATGTCCACCTCTTTAACTAAAGCCACGGGGACACAAAAGATCCGTTTTGAATTGAAAAGAGGAGTTGTTTTTTTAAAGTGAAAATTGAAATAAATTCGAAGTTGAAAATTGATGATCATTGAGAGGGAGTGCTAAAATGGAGTAGTCGAAAGAAAATGCTTACGGGCAGTTGGTTTTAACGCAGGGGTACTCATCTAGGTTGGCTGCTCTCGATTATACAATATGTCTTCATAGTGAGGTTTTCGTGACTACTCAAGGCGGAAATTTCCCACATTTCATAATTGGTCATCGACGCTATTCGTATGAAGGACATTCCAAGACAATAATACCCGACAAGAGAAAATTAGCTCAATTGTTCGACAGCCCCCGTATCAGGTGACACCATCTCTCTTTGGCAATATATATATATATATATATATATATATATTCATAGTTATAGTGATGTCTCAAGGTTCACAAATAGAATGATGTCGTTATTAACAATGATGATGATGTTTAGATGGGAGAGCTTTCAGCGACAGTTGCGGGAAATGCTTCATCATAGCGATGTAAAGGGAAGCGAAGTGAGGAAGCCGAGTGGGTCACTTTACACGTACCCGATGCCAGATTGCATGTGTAAGCAAGCAGCTGCTAAAAACTCGACAAGACTACGAAGATAAATCATCAATATAAATATAAATATAAATATAAATATATAAAAGAAAGGTCGAAGTTGATGACGACATGTAGTATTCTCAAATGGTGAATTGTGGTGAATTCTTTTATACGTATAAATGGAGGGGGTTGAAGTGAATTATTTTAGTTTTACACGTGTAGTTAGTTATTGATTTTGTATGTAGGTGAGGTGTATGTAACTGATGCACACTAATTAATTTGTTGTATATACTAAACTGAACTCAACTGATTTACAACAAACTCCTTTGCTTTAGATTAATTCATCACTTTCTTTACTACAAGGTTTGGAGTTTTTTTTTAGTATATGTTTTGGATGGATATAAGTAAATTTATTGAAATGTTAATTGGAGTAACGTTTTGGGAGTTTATTGTCACTTTTTTCGGTTATAACTCTCATTAATATTAATAATAATTTATTATGTCATCTATTTATAGATGACATTTACAAGTTACAGCCCAATGCTCTTTAAGCCTAATTACAAATATTATAATACAATACAAAGTAAAGATTTTATAAAAACTTTCAAATACTTAGGACTATTTTAGTCCTAACAAATTTTAAATGAATGTTAATTATTAATGAACATTAATTATTACTAGTATTACTAAATATTAATTATCAACAAATATTAATTAATTTTAATCAAACATGATACATTAATATCAATTATTTAGAATTATTAATGATATCAACTATTTTTACATTATTACTCAATATATTAGTTATCAAAAAAATATCATAATTCTAAAAATATTTATGTAGATTACATAAAAATTAAAGTTAAAGTTATTTTGTTTCATAGATAACGAAATTGTGCTAAATGATTTTAATAAATTTTTTGATTTAAGTATTAATTATATTTTTTTTAAATTATTAATTAGATAGAATATGTAAATTTTTATTTTTATTCATATTATACGTAAAGATTATTTAAAATTATAAATTAATGTATATACTTTTTAATTTCTTTTACCAACATGCTATCGGTGCCAATATGGGCATATTGGGGGCAATGAAAGAAATAATRGATTAGTCCTTGTACTTTAGGCATTATTATTTATTTTGTTTTTCAAAAAAGAATTAAGAAATACTCATGGTAACCATTCAAGCCGACGAAATTAGTAATATTATTTGTGAACATATTAAGCAATATAGATATGATTGCATCGCGATGCCTAAGAACACGATCWAATAGATCGTTGTATCGAGTAGTTGGATCATAGTCTCTTACCATAAAAATGGATGCATGTGTAGCAACACCAACTATGAGAAATCCACCAATCCACATATGATGTGTGAACAATGACAGTTGTGTACCACAGTCAGTAGCTAGATATGGAATTTATAATATTATATATATATATATATATAATCAATTTAAAATTCCCTTAATTAAAATATTATATTATTTAATTTTTTTACTATCTTGATTGTATTAATTAACATATTATATTATTAGGGATTTGTTTTAATTATATGAGTGAATTACAAATATGGTCCCTCATGAATACTGTCTTTTTGTTTTGGTCCCTTTGAAACATAAAGTATATTTTTGGTCCAAAAATTGAGTTTTTAGCCCAATCCTGCCCCTCCCACAGATGCCTTAGAATTGGATCCGTTAACGCAGTCATGTGTCCTTCACGTGAGGGGCATCTTGGTCTTTTTACCTATTTTCTTCAACTCTCATCCATCTCCAAGAACATACCCAAGTCTGGATCTCAAGAGTCAAGAACAGTTAAGCATGCACTTATAGTTTCTCCTTTGCTATTTTGGATGAGCACCAGGGACGGACCATAATTTTTTTTAAACGGTGGCACCATTTGACCATAAGAAAAAAATATATAGGAAATTTTTTTAAAATTGTGACACCGTTTGACTATAACAAACAAATATACAGAATTTTTTTTCAAAAGGTGGCACCGTTTGACTAAAAAATGACACTAACATGATTCGGACTTGGGTGTGGGGTGGAATAAAAAGGCTTGCAAACCAACTCTACCAAATAAAACTTGTTCTCATTGTAGTTTCAAAATACATACGGTGGCACACAACAAATTAATAGGTTGCACCGTTCACGAAACCTAATTTTTTTACCCTTTGGCAGAGACATAATACGGTGGCACGTGCCATCTATACCACATACATAGGTCCGTCCATGATGAGCACCTTTCTCTGGGAAATTTATGGTGTTCATGTGTCTACTCGAAGAAGGATGAATCGATCATTGCCTCTGTGCTCAATGAAAAGGATGTAATCATTACCGTCGATGATGTAGCTAGGATTCTTCAACGTCATTCTTCTTCATCAAATGTTTATGAATATCTACGTTCAAATGAAGCACATAAAAAAGTTCTTCATATTCTTGAGTATCGATTAAAAGATGAAGAAGCCAATGTTTGGGAACCATTCTTCTTAAGCATATGTCGAGAATCTAGTTCAATGTCTCATTTCAAGGTTAGTGGATAGGATCAATCACATAGTAATGTCACGAGACTTGCTCATGCTCTAATTTTTAAGAAGAATATCAACTTTGGGAAATACTTTTTTGATGAACTGGTGAGAAAAATCACTCTAAAAAGCAAAAGAAGGCTCATGTCCCATTTGTTCGATTTTTGGCTCTAATCATTGGTGACAAACTTGGAGATAAAGTTCCAAGTCCTTCTGAAGATTCTACTCTAGAAATCAATCACATTATCTCCAATAGAAGACCCTGCCATCAGATCCCCCAATGCCTACAGGTACGATTTCATTTGCTTAATCTTTAAGACAAATTTAGAACTCTCCATTGGAGAGAGAAACAACAAGGGAATTCTTATTAACCAAAATTGCTTCCTTATTCAAAAAGAGATCCAAAATAGCCTCCTCTCTTTCACCTTCTTCTTGGCCATCCAAGAGATTAAAGAAACCGATGTCAGCTCAAAAAGAGTATCGGATTCTCATACGACTACCTTGGTAGCTACTGTCGTTCCTCTTTCCAAAGAGGTAATGAATCTAAAAGAACCTTGAAATCTACCCAAATCTCTGTTCCTTCCATGAAAAAATGGAAGTTACCCAGTCTAGCCAAACTGGAATCTTCAAAGAAGACCTAATCATCCTAAAGGACTAAAACCTCAAACTATCCAAAGGCTCTCAAAAGTCTTCGGATATTGAAATTAGCCAATCAGAGTCCATGGCATCTGACACCCAACCAGCTCCACAATACCCTCCCAAAAGGGTACTTTTGTACACAAGGGAAAGCTCATAAAATCCATCACGGCATCCTTGTTGTCCAGTGGTGTGAATGAGGATCCACCCGAAACCCAAACAACCTATTTGATCACTACCACAACAGCCTTATCATCACATTCTATATCACCTATACATTCTAATGAACCTATAATCACCACTATGGGGGAGGATAACACATATATGATGACTCACTTGCAAGAATTCATGGTTCACAGGTTTCAATGGAATCTGATGATATTGGCAATCCAGCTCAATCAACCACCGTCACACCTGCCATATCTCATGAGATCATCGGTCTATCACCTTCATCATTTAAAAGAGATGAGCAAACTTCAAATGATCATCCATCAAGTAGTACACCAATGAAAAAATGATGCTCAAATACCTGCTTACTCCATTCCATCTCCTCAAGTTAGTGGTGGATCTTAGCAAATCTTCACCTCTTCCGATGTGATCACTCAAATTTGATTCATAGATCAAACCTCAATCATCGACTGCAACTCATCCATGGTGTGGTCGCATGCATTAAGTTCATACACTTTATGATCTCCCATCTCATGTTGTTGACCAACTTTGTGAGTTCAATCTTCAAACTTGCTTAACAGCATCTCGGTTGGCCACTTTCACTAAAAATTTCTTGGAGAAAAACCAAACATTAGATGAATGATTTAAAAATATGGAAGAAGACTCTAAAGGAAACAAGCTGAGACTCACCACGATTGTATGAATGAAGTGCTAAAGAAGATCGAGGTTCTTGAACGATCACATGATCAGACTCATAAAGTTATGGACGCGGAAAACAAGCTTCAAGAAGGCATTGGTAATTCTCTGGATCTTGTATCAGAATCCTTAGAGTCGATCAAAGCATAGATTGACTAGCGTTAATCAAACATGATATCCATTGCTCAGGATTTGGAGACCTTGATAAGTGTGCAAAAGCATACACTTTAGCACCTAATTATGACTTTATTTCACTTTATTTTACACCTTTCCCAACCCTATATTGAGTCTTCTAGTCTTATTTTATGGTTTTTTATTCATTGAGCTAAGATGCAGGAATGGTACTGTTTTATGTATTTGATGAAAGAAATGCTGACATAAGCATTACTGTAGCAGGTGTGTACGTTGCTACAACACTAGATATTGGCACAACTGGCTTAATCTCGTTGAATATTTTGAAAAGTCAAATTTTCGAGGAGGGCATCTTCTAGTACTGATAGCAGACGGTTTGATAGAAGATGCCACTGAAAGATACCTTAACCTTTTGTACTTAAGCATATTTTGTACATCATGAATCTTTTGTATTGTCCATTGGTTAATAACCTTTAGTACTTTTGATTCCCTTTTGCTAGTATATATATGAGAGGTAATCTTTTGTTTAGTGTGTGTAATTGGAACAATAGAACTTTATCATAATGATCAAAGCTTCAACTAAACTTTAGGTCCTTGCTACTTTTAAATATTATTTTTCAAGTACTTTTTAAGTGTTCTTCGTCACTGTCTGTTGCTACAACAACCTTTCCAGCTTTCTCTGTACTCTTCTTGCAGAATTTACTTTTACGTTATTTACATGCAGTCATTTCCATTTATATCAGTTATTTTTAAGCACTTACAATCAGTAATGCTAGGCTAAATACCTTAGTATAGGTGTAAGTGAAGGTTGTAAGATTAATCCAAGTGTTAGTCGATGATTGCTTTGCTAATAGCAATTTATTTCACTATTCACAAGTGATATCAATATTTTATCTGGTAATCTTTGACAAATTGACACATGTTATTTCATTCAAATGAGTTGGACCTAAAATTAAGACAACACAAATATTTTTACCAAGTGTGTTATAAAAGCTATAAAGAGTCGCAGTAATCTTATGGGTTGCAAAACTATATGGAAAGAAAGGCAAGATCTGTACTAGTTTGGGATTAATGCATCACCAAGTGCACTTCCAACATATGGTCTAATTTGCACTTCCTTGGAAGGCCGTTCAATCCAATAGTGTTAT